TCTTATATTTTTTATTTAATGAATAATTATTAATTTATTATAAATATTTTTTAGAAGAAAATTAGTTAAAAATAAAAAATGAATTATTAGCATATTAGCAACATTAGGTGTACGTCTTACTTATTACAAAAATATTGCTATTTATTTAATAAATATATAATTTTATTATTACTTTTGTTAATTTTTTTAAAATAGAAATACATAACCAGCATCAGTTGGGTACGCCTATTCTGAAGCAAGGATTTGTTTATTTCTATGTTTTATTTAATATTTGATTTTATATTTAAAAATAATTTATTTTAATTATTTATTTTATTTTAATTATGTATTTTAAAAAAAAATTCAAAATTATGCATTTTAAATTAAATTTTATTTTTTAAAAAATATTATATTATTATATTTAAAACATTATGTATTTAAAAATAAATTATATAAGAATTTCTTTTTTGATTCAATTTTTAAAAAAATTATGTAAAATTTAAAATTGTATTTGTGATATTTCTTAAAATAATTAAAATAAAATTCTTGAAATAATACAATTATGAAAATAGTCATAATAATATATCTATTAAACCAATTATAATGAAAATTTATATGCACTTATTTCAAACCCGTTGAATTACTTTACTTATGATATTAAAGTTGATTACCTTTGACCAATATGCTTAAATTATTCTTTGAAGTCAATAAACAAATAAAAAAATAAAAAAAATTTATAAGTTAATACAATTATGAAAATGTTTATAACTCTCTACAACCATTAATCCAATCATAATAAAAATTTATATTTACCTATTTCAAATCCATTAAAAAATTTTACTTAGTCTTACAAAGTAGATTTCCTTTGACCAATATGCTAAACGGATAAAATTATAAAAACATTTTGAGAATGAAAAATGATCATAATTATATAACTATTAAACCAATTATAATAAAAATTTATATGCAATTATTTTCGAAATCACTGAACAACTTTACTTAGGATTCTAAAGCTGATTACTTTTGATCAAAGTTTTCAAATTAACCTTGAATAATTGAATGGATAAAAAAAATTACAAAAAATTTAAAAAATTTGCTAGTTAATAGTTACAAATAATGGTTTAAATTTAAAATTTACTTTTTTATATAAATAACTTTATTAGAATTTAAAATGTAAGGTGAAATTAAATATGTAAAAAAAAAAATTTTTTTAATTTTTTATTGATCTTTTAAATTCATGTAAAAGAATTTGTCAACAATTAATTGGTTAAAAAATTTGGGGTCAAAATTAATTTATATGTTATCTGAAGTTGGAATTCAGATAGCATAAAAAGTATCTGAAATTTGAATTCCAATTTCAGTTAACTGATCTTCAGTCACAACATAGAGATGAAAACTTTGATCGTTATTCAAGTTTATCAATCACGTGATATGGTTTTTTATAATAAAAATTTTTATTAATAAAAAATAAAACGGGTCGATTAAAATTATCACATAACGTGAACCGAAAATGCAAATTTGCGTGGCCATATATTACTGGTACATAAACGATTTAGATTATTTTTATACTATTGACGAATGCATTTATTGTATGGTTATTTCTATTTTGTAAAGAATATAAACGGAAGAGACCTAACAGAATTAAACAATAGAGTTAGTCATTAGTCATTAATCATAAAAAACTTTTTTTTACTGACAATCGACTATTTAGTATCGAATTTCTATTACTAACAAATTAAAAACAACATTATAAGAAAGTAATAAATCCTGATGCAAAAAGAAAATCTTCACTATCATAACATCCAATTATCATTTGAGTGATCGATTATGTTCCGTAAGGTGATTTTAATAGCCGATCCCATTCTTCTTCAAATTGCACAAGTTACCTTCTATTTGCGTAAGAGAGGTAATTTATTGTCGTTATAGATTTGTTTTATGTAATTACGATAGACGAAAATAGCATGTAAATTGATTTAGCTAAATAAAATAAAGTTTTAAATATATGAATTAATGCACCATTACTGCCTCTGCCGGCGCTGTAATAGGCCCAAGAGGAAATATTTTCCTAATTACAATATTGTTCAAATTCTATTGTAAACTAAAAGCGAAACGAAGCATTTTATGTAAAAATTCCTTCTTATGGCTTTACTACGGCATTCTTTGAATTATCAGTAGGCTTGCGGCTTGGATAACGGAAATGGAAATTGATTGATCCCTGATGTCAAAATGGTCATTTTGACATATTACTTCCATCTTGCCAAGGAATCCAGTATTGTCAATTCCAACAGATCCGCCAGAAATTGACATATGATCAAATTTTTGCGCAGTCAAAACACACAATTGATGAATATCAGGGATGACATTTTTTTCTATCATAGCTTAATAGCTTAGTTTTTGTCAACTTATACAATAGATTGAATCAGATCCTTCATCACGAACCTGAAAATAATAAAAAGCCGAAATCCTGTTAAATAAATAAATAAATATATATATTTATATACAAAAGTAAAAATTAGTGTGTAATAAACAAAAAAAAAATAAAATTTATTAAAATGACCCTACCGAATCTAAAAATTTCCAAAAAAAAAAATAATATAAATTAATAATTTTTAAATTAAGAAAAGCCTTGCCGTACCAGATCCTCCATCAAAACACGACTGAAAAAAATATAAATAAATAAGGATTAGCGTTAAAAATAAAAAAAAAGAAAACCAAAGTTCTGATATACCAAATCCTTCATGAAGCCTGGCAGGATTTTGAAAAGTTCATAAAATATGAATGAAATTTCTTGATATTATATAAAATTCAGTTGACATGCTTCATATAACATTTTTTTTTTGCATTTCAAGAAGCATTAAAAACATTGGCAAGAAACACTTGAATTTCAAATAATAGAATAAATGAGTTTTCTTTTCGGATGTTAAGTATCAATAATACGATTTATTATTTATTTGAGAAATTAGCGATTAGCGGTTGAATTAAATTAATTAATTACTTTTGAATTATTTAATAATTATCAATAAATCTGAACATAGATTTTTGCAAACAAGTGGAGAATTGAGTAATACATGAACATGAAGGCAAGCTACAGTAGTTAATGCTTATAATTATGAAGTAACTATAAAAATTTTCAAGTCAAATAAAATATATATTATAATACGGAAATTGATAATATATGTTCAATTTTAAATTAATTAATTCTCACATGAGAGTCATTTCATGTTAATTATGGATATATACACTAAATGCCATCTCTATAATTATACAATAGTGTGCTCAAATTATGGAAATTCATAGCGCTTTCTGTGGATTTTATTACTCGTATGGGAATCATACACGTCATATCCTTTTGGTCAACAAAATTCACGCTAAATACGAATTCACCATTACATCTTAATTTTATACATCTATCGTTAGTATTGTCCAGGAAATCTGACTTGAGATTCGGTTCATTCTAGAACCGAATGTCAGTTCCACTTGAAAGTCAGTTCTATTTAAATTATTTAAATTATAATGTTAGTAATTGAATATTTAAAGTGTAAATTAAAATATACAAAATAAATTAGCGATTGGTAAATTTTGTGGCACAGTAATTTGTAGTGTACTTCTGAAATGAAATAATCATTGAATAATATTTTACATTATGATTTTATTTAATTTTATTTTTCAGAGCCGGTTCGGTCGGTTCGGTTTCGAGAACCGTTTATTTGGAACCGTTCTATCAGTTCGGTTCGGTTCAATTCGACTCGCAAAACCGATACCGAACCGTTAGAGTCGTCCCCATCCCTACCTGTGTTGAATGTAGAGCTTCTTCACATTTTTCTCATGTTTGTTTGGGGAAAAAATAGACTAAAGGTTAGTATATATAATTTCTTTTCGATTATATATGAAAAATTAATGTCACAGACCTGTCATAGAAATACGTCGAGCATGTTTATTATTTCCAGGAATAATATCTTCATTTTTGAAGACAATTGGAATGCTCGATATTCCAAACTCAAAGGGTTTATATCAAATTGGAAATATGACCTTTGGTTATGATCATAATCTTAATCAACAAAATAAAAAATTTGAGATTGTCATGACTGATAATGGTAGAAAGGCTTCATTTATTTTCTTAAGCATCGTGCAGCATTAAACTTGACAATAATAGAATGTTTTGAATTTTGTGTTGATTACAAGTTCGGAACATATAATCGCAAAGCAACCGGGTTCTTTGAAAAACTGTCTGAAGAAATTTTTGGATATAATATGAAGTCGTATGAAATCACCATAAATCTAATTCAAATAGATACAATACTAACATAGAATCTCTTGCTGTCATCCTGAATTAAAAATAAATGGTATTGAAGTGAGTAAAATTTAAATTATTGAATACTCCTATTAAGTATAATAAAATAATCACCAATAAAATTACATATAAACTAATTTTTTATTAGCATGAAAAGTTTGGTATATCTTTTTATGACCTGAAAAATAATCGTAAAAGAAATTCTAGACTAAAAAATGAAATTTCACCGTTGGTTCATTCTCATATATACTAGAGGTCTATGTGGTCTATATATTTATTGTATTTATTGTATTAGTAATTAGTAATAAAGTAGAGCCTCTGGTTAATTTTATTTCATAAAGTAAAAATTTTTTATACAGAATAGTTCGTGGTAACTACCTCATAATCTTGTATATATCATAAATCATCACAAAGCTCATAAACAAGATGGGGTTTGCAAGTAAAAAATTTATCAAATCAAACCAAAGTTTTATAAGTTTCAAATTTAAAGTGGACAGCAACAGTTTTTTGTTCTGATTTGTCAAATTGTCATTTATGTAAATGTTAAATAATGAATTTGAAATAATAAAATAAATAAAGTTATTCAAATGAATATTATTTAAAAATCGATTGTACGTGATCAATCAATCAATCAAGTTAATCGATTTTCTACATGGTCCTATGTAATAGAACATAAATTTTTTTTTTTAAATTCAATGAATGATAGGTGAAAAATATATAAGTCAGATATTCATATAGTATCCTTTATCATTCTATTTTGGAAATCAAGGAACTTGGAAATCATGTTTTCCATATTTCTATTCCTAATAGTTTCATTTGCTCTTTGTTGTGAATAAATTGAGTCTGTGACAACTATATTCTTCACACCTCCAACCTGGCCGTCTCTTTTCTTCTCAAAGTTGCGTCCATACAATGTATTGTCGACCAATGATTCGAAAGGCCCAAAAATAGTTTCCATAGCATTCCGACGTAAGTCTTTTCTTGATGGATCAAAAACGCCTCCAAAATTGTAATTTGCATCTTGAAAAATATAAGGATAGGGTAAATTAGTAAAACCTTTTCTGTCAAAAATCATAACAAGAACGTCTACGAACCCTTCTTCCACTGATTGTAATGCTTCTGAATCATGTTTTGAAGTTGCAACTTCACTCCTCTTTTAAATGATTTGATGGTTAGTCGGCGTTCTGGGTCTAGTTTTTTATACAAGATGCGAGAACGAGAAGCTGAAGTGCCACTAGAAGAAAAACTAGTTGAAGAAATCCTTGTTGCGCTCGTCATAGCTGATGCAAATGAAAGACCAGAAGCAACAGACAGTGGCGACGGAATAACAGAAGTTCCATTGAATTGATTTGAAATAGAAATCGGTGAAGTCGAGGATGTTGAATCATCAAAAATGTGATCTTGAGATTCGTCTTGAGCTGAAAGGGTATAAGATCTAAATTCCATAGACTTGGATCTTTCTAATTTCTCATTCCCAATAATGGAAGGTTCTGAAGATAACCTCAATACCATAGATATGGATCTTTTTGATTTCTCATCACCGATGATTAGAAGTTCTGATGAGTTAGGCAACTCCTTCGATGTCTGGTTTAACTGCTCTTGACGTATAGATTCTAACTTTGCTGAAGATCTTGGATCAACAAAATCAATAATCGTGGCGTCTCCTATACGATGGAGAAGGTCCATAGATTGTTGTTGCACCTTTGCAGTTCTTCGGTTAGGTAAAATAGATTGATTGATTCCTGCTCTAAGACATTTAATGAAGGCATAAAGATGAGCTAGTGCATCTATACAACAAAAAAATAAAAATGAGATATAAAACAATCAAAAGCTTATATAACGTTCCGCAATATAACAAAACTTACCCATCATCCACTCGCCGAGGAGTGTGTCGTGTTTGACGGGAAATATGTAAAAAACAGTTTCCGCCACTTCACCAAGATCACCAGCAGCAGTTGTATCTGGTACGTTACGTGTGGTCAGATCATCGTAAATTTGAGGAGTTTCTCCTACAGCATCACCAAAATCATTGAATTGCACTCGACTCGATTCTATTGAATGCTGCGATGAAACATCCTCATTTTCTTCAGGAATTGCTGGTAATGGTTTTTCTTCTTTTGTTGCTTTCAATCGGAGATTAGATATTCCGCTTAATGATTCTACTTTCCAGACCAAGCGTCGTAAATTTTCCAACATCTCCAAAACCTAAATTATTTCAAAGTTAGATTTCGTCATGATTCTGGTTAAATATCTAAAAACATACAAGAATAGAATAGGTACTGAACCTGCGCGTCTTCAAGAGAAGAATTGTCATTATTCCCATCACATATAATTGATAACTCAACGGCAACATCATAAATGATCTGCCGCTTGAGTATTTCCGCCAACTGTCGCTCATTCTCATCAAGTATTCGGTGACCACCAGTGAGGAACAAACCAACGTTATCAGTTTCGTTATCTTCACTGATGGGTCCGGTAACAAAAATCCTTTCCAAAAGACGAAAGTGATCATCGATTCCCAAACCTGCAATAACGCCTCTTATGTTCATCGACAATAAAATAAATTCCGCAGGACTTGCATTCCAAGCATATGCTGCAAAGATTATCTTTAGTGGTAAAAAAAAGAGAATAAATTGACGTAATGAAATTGACGTTCAGACATTCTCAAACTTTTAAAAGCATACCCTTCGTTTTGTAGTCGTTAGGTATGGTAAAATCGTTATACAACCACCATCCATTTTGTTTATTTTATCACGATTTTTAAAGGTTTGAATTAGGGATCGTTTTTCCATCTCATGCCATTGGTAGTGTACAAGATGCTGGATATGAGGACGAAACTTTTTCAATTTTTTATCGACTTTAATTGCCTTATTGAACATTCGTTTCTTTATGTTGCGGAAAATCTTGGCTTTAATCTGCACTTCAATAACTTCATCAATCAATATCGCAGGATCAGTGGTAAATTGCTCACCATCAACAGATGCATCATCAGGGAGTTCTGCGTTATTTTTCGTGTTAAAGTGTTCTCATTTAGGTTCATCAGAATAAATATATGTCTGTACCTTACCTGAAGAATCATCTGTTTTTTTTACCACCAGATGTTGTTGCGTAAAATTGCGAACACGTTCAAATGTAAACCTTTTCTGTCTTAATGCATCAAAAGGTGTACTTATCAATTCATTCAATGCGATTACACAATCATTTTTGTTAGCTTTGGGATTAACCACATAAAATCTATTGATAGAAAAGACTGTATAAGAAAAGAACAAACTTATTAAAAACAATATTGTTATCTGGGAGAATAAATGGTAATGAGAAACAAACTTGTTGTCATTTTTATGTATTGCCTGTAACCACTAAATATTAATTAATAACTTTGTTAGCTTTATAAGTCTCATTTTTCATCATATTAGTTACGTCATATTAACGCAGCACATACCTCATGTTTCAGCACAAAATTTCGTGCTGTAACTTTTATAGCATAATCTCCATAATCAAACTGATTATCCAGTATAATCATTGTCTTGCCAGCAAGATCCTTCATTAACGTGGTAGGTTCAGTCGAATATAGTATTGGTATTGGCCTTGTTAAGTGAAAATGGCCCATTTGTGATATATCCCATATAAAGAACCGGAGGCCGAACTGCTGCTTGAGCAAGTTGTCCCATGCCAAAAACTCATTGCGTGTTCTATTTTGAAACAACATATTTTAGCGATTCATTCCTTCGTGCTCTGCAAAAATAAAGTTAACAAAGGTAGATATCATTGCTCTTACGTTCTATGATTCGCGACCAGTAGTACATCTGGGTAGAAACCAGCAGGAAAACCGCGGTAGATCGTCGATACTCTGACATTGAAGGATTCAATGTGAACGACATTTGGTATGGAAGGATTGTTAATCTGAGATTAAAATAAAAAAGTATTTATATTTCTTTTGTCAATCTGAATTTCTATTGTTGTCATCAAACGATAACTCTTAACATATTTTTGTGTTATAAAAAAATCTCTCATTATAACTATATATTGGTGACAAGATTAAGAATCATCATTTCAAAAATTTAATCATCTCAGTCAATATTGTTACCACTTCAAGCGGTAAGTTATGAAGGAGTAGGTTTAGATTATATAGTTTATATCAACAATGTAAACCACTAAATCTCACTCTTCATAAACCTCAGTTTCTTAGTTTTCTTGTCTCTGCAATAGGGATTGGAATCGAAACTCGAAAAATTGCCAAAGTCAGAAATCGATTCTAAAAACGTTTAATTAAAACAATATTTAAATTTACCGGTTAATTGGCAAAAGAAATGTCTAAAAAGATCGACTGTTACCGATTATTCATTCAATCGAAACTGATAATTAATTTCTAAGAAACGATCGTTAAATTTTAAAAATCGATTTTTACCGAATCGATTTTTGATTTCAAGTATTGAATCGATTCCAATCCCTACTCAGCAATATGATTAAAGGTTATATCCATACCTTTCCAAGTTCTAGATAAATCCAAAATTCTGCACATTCAAAAATCTCTGCTTCACCCAACGTTAAAGTGGCCTCCAGCTGTAGCGTTTGACCAGCCTTTAACAAAGGAATCTCAAAAATATATTCCTTTTCCAAAGTCTGCTCTGGAGGGATAGTAGCGACTCCTTCCTGTTCGGGTTGTAGGCCAAACCGTAATGCAGATGATGAGACCTCTCCACTCGTTTTTCCTAATCTGACACGAATGCAACGCCCATTTTTGGAGAGGCTACCAAAATCCACCTCAGTTGTGTTTTCCACACCCCAGATTACTTTAGCCACATGACCAACAACCTGAAATAATATATGGAAAAGTTTAGTAGGATACACATTAATAGTATAATACACGAAGGATACAAAGAGCAACATTACCATAGAGTTCATGTGTGAAATATGGGTAAGCTCGATAGGATATTTAATGTTGATATTAAGGCCGTTGATATCGAAAGCTGGAAGCCACCTTTTAAGCCCTGTCATTGTTGCAGTCAAGTGCAACGTATCAGTATCTCGAAGAGGTGGACCTGGTATATTTGGTGAAATATCAAATCCTCTGAAATTGAAATGACAATTGAAATAGGATAAGGTTTTTTGAATATGTACCTGGATTTTTCACTCTATGTTTCTTGAGAGAAAACGTGAATGGTTGATCACAGTCAACTTTTTTGGTGGTGTATGGATTGATAAGTTGTGGCAATATGATATGCTCCTTCTCCTCCTGATTGCGAATCCATATGCTATCATTGATTGTAATACAGATATCTCCTATCATGTTTGAATTAAAAGTGTAAGTACCAATAACCTTACATGGGTTAATTTACTGTACACATAACGTTTACAAGACAGATAACGTACGTCTTGGTGTAGGCATCTCCGACAAATTGAGGATCGTCAAAGTGTCTAAGTGAATTTGAGCTTCGGGTTCAAAAACCCCCGTTATGGAGTGAATAATGACCTGATGTATACGTATATCAAAAATTTCGTGATATTCTGTAATGTAATTCGTAACGCTGAATAAAAGCATAAAAAATTACTAACAAGATTGGTTGTTTGGGTTGTGGGACTAAAAAGTATTTTACCAACAAATCGTAGGAAATTCTCTCTTTTACTTTTTTTTTTCCCCCAAAAAAAGAAATGTAAAAAGATAAATAATGATAATTTTACCTGTCTTCAATCAGGAACCGGAAATTTCCGTCAATTCCTGAAATACCGTTATATAGAGGATGTGTTGGTCGTCGTCCAGAACTACCACTAGGACCTGAAAAGCCACCTAATATGAAAAAGAAATGAATTGAATATGACAGCAAGCTCTGAATCAAGCACGCTTTGCGACTCATACCTGGATTATAATGAGATGTGGTAGTGTATTGTGTATATCCCCGGGAGTCGGTGTAGGAATGTGTTTCTGTCCATGAATAACCTGAACCACCTCTACCACCATATCCTCCTCTACCTGTGGATATTATAACCATATAATCATAGTAAGGAAAGCGCTAGATCAGAGTAATAACCACACAAGCTGTACCTGGTGTTCCATGTTGTCCAGCTCTGCCTGCATTACAATAATTAGTGAGATAGTTACCGAAAATGCTTGTCTGAACAGATTGAAACGTAGAGAATAACAACGATTACCTCCTTGTCCTCCACTGATGTTCAGACTGTAGGAAATTGTTGGAGTCCATACCTTCACAAACATCAATAGCAATCCCGAGTCAGTATCACGCATGTGCAAGGTGATTGCACCACCTTTTCCGCCATTTGCACCGCTTTAAGATGAAGAATTCGTCAGGAAAAGAAAAAAATTCACAGCAGCTAAAGAAGGCATCGATAATTGAATGAAGAATATCTACCTGGTTCCTGCGCCTATAAAGTTATTTATACCAAGTAAATCAGCAATTTACCAGAAAAATTTCATCGTAAGCATAGTGTTCTTACCTGCATCACCACCATCACCTCCTCTTCCTCCATTGGTTCCATTAGAGTATCTTTATTATTGACAGAAATTAGACGATTATTTTGATATTGAAGAATATCTCTTGAACATCAAGAGCAAGAGACTTACCGAGTGGCGTCCATTCCGGAATGACCAGTGGCACCATACCCTAAATAAACGTTCGTTTTATATTCGTGCTGGATCACCTACACTTAGTATTCGTAAAACGTTTGAAAGAATACTTACCCCCGTCTCCACCGTAACCACCGTGTCCCCCGCTACCTCCATGAGCTGAAAGTTTGCAACAAATAAGATTGGAATTGTTTTTTTGAATGATTACCACAACCTCGATAAACTAAAATTTGAAAATTTTACCATCCAGAACAAACAAATCAACCGTTTCACATGAATAAGTTTCTTGGAAATTTTCATCGACAAATTGCTCTGATTTACGATACTGGCCTGAAAATTCAATCGAGGCACCAGTAGTATTATCCCTATTCAAAGGTACTGTAAGTCAAATCATGAAACAAACAATATCGTTGCAATTTTAATTAAGAAAATCGAACCTCTCGGTGAGAAACAGGTCGATATCTGTTAGGAAGTAGATGAATTTTAAATTCTCTCAATTTAACTGAAATAATTATAATTTCAATTGAATAAATATGATGAATATATCTGACCGCCGGCATCCTTTCCCCTGGTTGGTTTAGTCGCATCTTCTCCATCATTCCCATTCTTATATGATCCGCTAGGTATTGCTGCATCGCGCCCATTATGACCGTTAGCGCCATTAGGCCCGGATACTGAGAGAACGACAAATGACATTTTTATTGTTTTGTTGATGTTAGGAAGAAAACATGATTTGAGAGAGAAAGCGGAATAGTAAATTTAAACAAAATTTAAAACATTTCATTTGTAACGTGACACATCCATTCTTGGGACCACTAAAGTACCAATAAAAGCAAAACGCAAGTTGTATCACATTTCATAATGGATCCACAAAAATGGATTGTCGAGCCTTTTGGTCTGCGGCTTAATAAAGAAAATAATCGAAACTTGTAAATTTATTATGTTTGTTCGTTGACTACTAACTATTGATTCTAACGATTAGAGACAGCGTGGTGGTGGCAGGACATCTTGTCGGTCTATAGTTGTTTCGGTTACTTTCTTTTCGCGAAAGTTTTTTCCTTTTCTAATCTAACGATCAAATAATCATTTAAAAATATGTGACAGAGCTGCGACAGACCTCATTCAATTAATTTGGGTGACTACAAAAATCTGCTTTTTTGAATTTTGAAATTGAAATTGTTTTACCAAAATATAATTAAATTGAAATTATGATTCAAGAATAAAGAAAACAAAAATCATATCTACTGAAATGAGTAACTGCGTATAAAATTGATGTTTTTTACGCTTTATTAAAAAATCACGCAAATAAAATATCACTAATTGTGTAATTTATTTATTATTATAACAATTATATATTCATATTGATTAACTTCGATAAAATCATATAAAGTAATATTCTATAAAATTCATAATTTATTCATAATATAATGTAATATATGTATTCTTACGTATTATTTTATATAAAAATATAAAATAATTTTTAATAATATAAATATTAAACCTCTTGATGTGCCGCCGGAACGTTTAGTAATTATGAAAGATATCTCGAAGATCCGTCAACATTTTTGCTAATATAGGTCTCAGACCTGGATTTTGGTCGACAGATATATTTACGAGAGATTTATATTTTTCTGGGATATCGATACCGGGTGTAAAGGGTTCTCGATGTCCACTTATTACTAGTCTGGTAATTTCTAAAAAGTCACTAATATCCTCATACGGAATTCTACATTCAGCAATTTCCCAAAGAAGTATACCAAAACTGTAAACTTCACATTTGGTATCATATTTTTTATTTGTTTCCTCTTCTGCAATTCGTTTATTATTCTCGTTTTTTCCTGCTACCTCTGTAATTCTTTTTAACATTTCAGGAGCAGTATATACAAGACTTTCTATATTTGCGGATAGATTGCTAGTGGCTGCGTTATGATCTCTACTAAATTTAAAATTTGTAATCTTTGCAATTTCATTATATGTAATTACGATATTTTTTGATCTAATATCTCGGTGAACGATCTATAGGATAGGATGAAAAAAAAAATTTTTTTTAAAATTTAAAATTGAAATTTGAACATATTCAATAAAATTTTGCATTTATTTTATTACCTTGACAGAATTAAGGAAATTTAACCCTTTAGCGATATCATAAGCAAATCTAATTCTCAATTTCATATCTATATTTTGCCCATTTGAAGTAATATATTCACGTAAATTTTTATATTCTGCCCATTCGGTTACTAAATAAAAATCATCTTTATCATCTTTAGTAAGGCCATAGAAATGAATAATATTTTGACAATCTTTTAGCTTTTTGAGAAATATGGCTTGATTTTTAACTGTATTATAATTTCCTTTATCCAAACGTTTAAAAGCAAAATCTTCTTTAGTTTTTACATGGACATATTTTCTTAGTCTATCACTTCGAGGTGGCTCATCAGCCTCTTCATAATCTCCGAATGGAAGTTGGGGTTCATTAAAGATATTGTCAATTCTGTTTTGATTTTGTTGCTCATTCTTTGGGTTATTTATCAAATTTTGCATAATGATTTGCATTTCATTGACTTTCTCAATAACCAAATTCACTTTGTCACTTGCTCTAGAATCACTTCGAGGTGGCTCATCAGCCTCTTCATAATCTCCGAATGGAAGTTGGGGTTGTTTTTCATTTTTTGGGTTATTTATCAAACTTTGCATAGTGATTTGCATTTTATTGACTTTCTCAATAACCAAGTTCACTTTGTCACTTGCTCTAGAATCACTTCGAGGTGGCTCATCAGCCTCTTCATAATCTCCGAATGGAAGTTGGGGTTGTTTTTCATTTTTTGGGTTATTTATCAAACTTTGCATAGTGATTTGCATTTCATTGACTTTCTCAATAACCAAGTTCACTTTGTCGATACTTTCTGCTAAAGCTTCTTGAAACTTTAGAAGTTCCTCAATGTCTTCCTTTAAAATTTTATCATCTTTATCTGAATTAATCCTAAAGTCAACCGTTAAGGTAAAATTTAATAAATTAATGCTACTATCATAATCCTTACATAATTCTTTAAATTGTTTTTCGATTGATTAAACACTCAAAAAAAATATTTGCACAGTATTAGGTTGCGTGATTTCTTCAATAAATTTTTTCATTTTTTGAAGAACTTGAATTAATCTTTGTAAACTTGTATAATTTTTTAAAGTAAATAAATCTTCTCTTGCTTTTAACATTTCAACTGCGGAGCTTGCTGCAATAATTCGTTCCACCAAGACTTTTGTTATATTTTTATTATGTTGAGCTGTCTTATATAAAACTATAACTTTATTAAGGATATCGGATACTTCTTTAACAAGAGGAAAGAATTGTCTGTAAGTGATAACAACTGATGGTATCGATGCTTCATCATTCGATCTAAATTCTTCTAGATCCATCTGATCAAAATTATGAATTAATTGAGATAATTCTCCATGTATTGAATTGTTAATACTAGAAGAAGCATTAACGCTATCCAAGCAAAGTTGTTGCTTAGATAATTGAAAATCTGATTTATCCTCATCATCATTACCATTTATATTTGTTTTTTCAATCATTGCTTTAATTCATTACGCACTTTGCACATGACCGGACGATTATCTGGCACAATATCCCAACAATCTAAAATCATATAAAAATATTTAATGACCGAATACAAAAACATATAACTTTTAGATAAAAAAATTTACCAGTATAAAGTTTTACATAATCTTCAGGTGTACCAGGAATGATACTTTCTCTACGTCCTTGCGAAATTTTAATAGCTAAACAAACGTCATATACTTCATTATTAAAAGGTGGACGTCCACTTGATAACTCCCACAAAAGCACGCCAACACCATAAACGTCACTTTTTTCGTTTAGTTTAAATTGTTGCCCTCTAATCAAACTATTAGGATCTACGTAAGGAATTACACCAAAAACTTTTGAATGATTACTTGTTGCTTCAACTCTTTTTGATAAGCCAAAGTCTGCTAGTTTAATAACGCCTTGATGGATTAATATATTTCCTGAATGCT